CAATTCATAATAATAATAAAAAAAAAGTCTAAGTAGTTTATCCACTACCTAAAGCTTGCTTAAATAAACTAATCCAAATAATTTCAAGTGTTTTCCTCTTTATAAAATGTTGAGTACAAAATTCCGCTGCCTAATGGAAAGCATAAAGAAACGCATATCGAAATATGTATGTGGTGTTGTTAAATGCATGTTAAATAAAACTATTTTCTTTATGTGGCTCAGGCACGCAAATAGAGAAAATTTACCGAATCCAAGTGCATAACAGTGTTGGTAAATCCCACACTTTTACACGTCATAAGTGTTGTTGAACAAATATTTGCGATGCTTTCTATAACAAGTGGGGAAGCGCACATTGCCGCAATGGCAATTGCACATCATCACCGGAACATTGAATAACTGTGAAAATCCGGAAATAAACGCTTTCGCAATGCACTTCAAAGTAGTTGAGCAAATAGTGGCGCAGTTGCAGCAAATGGCATTGAGTGGAGCAGCGAGTGAACGAGCGAGAGAGAGAGAGAGAGAGAGTCTGTCGGCAAGGATGCCAGAATAGCTAGTGAAAAGGTGAAGTATGCCGGCTTAGCGGCAATAAACACCAGCTTTGCTACCAAATAACTCTCTGCCAATAAAGAATAGTAAAGAAAACGTGCAAACAAAAAGCAGAAATATTTGAAAGACATTTGATATATGAAAAATATATATATAAAATAGTTAAAATATATAATTTAGTTTAAATCAAAATAGCAAAAATGTATTTTGGTCTGTATGTGTGAATCAGGTATGTAAGTATACGATATATATTTACATATATAAATTAGCAGATCAAGAAATGTCTATTACTTAATATACATCTGTTTGTCTGCAGCAAAGTACATCAATATTTAGCTACATACATATGTACATACATATATTTAAGAGAAAAACTAAGCTCAAGCCCTTAAATCAGTAGAAAGTGCTCTCAGTTGCTTGCTCCTCTCAGATCGTGTGTTAAATCGAACTCAGGCCAAGGTCACAGAGCTCAGCTCGAGAGCTGAGTTCGAGTTCTATGAGAGCAGCATGGGCCCTACATAAAGGCAGGTCTGCTGCAGCTCAAGTTCAGTGGTGTTTCGAATTTGTTGGTGATCAGTTCTACAGTGCCGGACTCCTCTTCTTCTTCTTTGTCTGGTAAATATATTTTGTAATATTATTAGTACTACTATACTAATACGAAGTCCATATACTATACTACTATATATACTAATACTAATAATTTTATTTCTTAATAGTTTTAAGACATTCGTTCATCACAATTAAAATGAGATTTGTACTAAGTTAGTGACCTGTTTTATTTAGTATTAATATAAAACTCTTTATATATTACACAAGTATGTAAAAAGCTCTTGTTCTATTTTTTGCATTAATAAATAAATTAAATTCAACATTTATACATATATTATAATACATTCAAAAGAGTTTTGTAAATTAAATCAAATGTTTTATTAATGTTTAGCTTCTGGACTTTATAATATTTATTAATAATTATATTATTATGAACATGTTTAATGGTATAAATATTATGTGCTCAATAATCAAATTTTAGATTTAACAAAAAAAAACTAAACCGCCTAAAATCCCTGAATTTCCATGCAACTTTCAATTTACTCATTTCATATTTATATTAAATTTCTATACAAATACAAATGGTATATGTACATATATCCAGATATATATATGTATATACCAATATGCTTACCCAAAAAATTTCATTGCAAGTTGCATTTAAAATTATTTAGTTGACTTGTGAGTTTTGTGACATTTTTATCCATGTGTGACTATATATTTATGAGCATGTATGTATGCATGTTTGTGTGCCCTGTATATGTGCATGTTTGTCTGCATGTTAACATGGCTGTATGTGTGTGTGTGTGTGCATGTTTGTGCTTTTGCACTATCATTATTGAGGAAAACACATCATAAAATATGAACGAACATTTCCGAAGCTCTCAAGAAGTTTTAATTGCTTTTCCGCATGCAACTTATGGGCATATGCAGCACCCACATGAATGTACATCCTTATAAGTAGAATTTGAACAAGCCTTCAGCAGCCGCAGCCCCAGCCCCTCAACGACCTACCCCTCATCCACATGGCATTCGTATTAGTCTGCCCATTCCATTTTGAGGGGCAGAGCCACGTGCCAGGAATGCTGTGCATTGCTCCTCCTGCACATTAACGAACGAACGAACGAAGACATTCTCTCCCACAACAGCTGCACAACAACTTTGGGACTTTGTGCATAACGTAGCCATAAAGGCGCACACTAGCTCAGCGAGAATGTCATAAAGTTGACAATGCTGAGGGCTGCCAAGGTGCGCCGTATACCTCTGGATATGCAGCATAACAAGCTGACATCAATTATTTATATCTTAATCAAACCCGACCCACATACAGCCCCATGGCCACAACTTCACAGTCTTGACAACTTGACAACTTTACCAGCAACAAATTGGATGTTAATTACTCGAACTCATGTGCAACTACCTCCCCCCCCCCCACTCACCTCCTTCCCCCATGAAACTTGCAAATTATATTGTCTGCCCATTCATACGAAATGGCATATTAAATAAATGCTTCAATCTGCTCCTCGAGTTCAGTTTCCATTTCCATTTCCGTCTCTCTTTCTGTGGCTGTTGCTGTCTCTGTCTCTGTCTCTTTCTCTGTTTTTGTTTCTTTTTCTTTTTCTTTACGTTTTCTGTTTCCGTTTCATTTTGCACTTTTCCACAAATAGTAATAGCATAATTTTTCATTGAAGGACCAAAGCTCTACGCGAGGACTCGTTAAAGCAGAGCAGCAACTGCCATTGGCTCTGTAACAGCATCATAAAGAATTGAATTCAGTTTTGTTCCTGACATTTATGGAGCTGTGGCTGTTGCTTGTATAGAATTCCATGAACACGTCGTAATCATTTGCGCCAGTTGTCTTATCGTTGAGCTGGCTTGGTTTTACTTTGGCTAAACCACTCACCCACCGCCGGGTGGTCCTGCTGCTCCTCTAGCTCAGCTTGCCCTGGTTTCTGTTACAATTTTAGTTTTTGTTAGTCTCCTTTTTGGCCACATTGTTGACTTGCCATAAAAACACGAAGCAAAAACATAAACCAAAAAGAAACAAAAAACAAAAACAAAAAAAAAATACTCAGATGCATTGCACGTGGAAGCATCAAGCGCTGCAATTTCACAAATTGTCTTGAAATGCAAGAATGCATTTCATTCCTTTCGCAAAATCCAGCAACCCCGCCTAGCCACGCCCACTTGCCGCTTACCCACCCACTTATCAGCACGCACTGCACCACAGGCAGCTGCTGGCCGGAATTATGAGAGTGGGCCGAGCCACGCTTAGCACTCACCCACACTGAATTGTTGCTGATATTCACACAGAAAGAGACACAAATCAAGCAGCTGCGAGGGCGGGTTGAAGAGTTACCAAGGCACTTTAATATCACTTATTGGTATGACTTTTTGTTTACTATACTTCATTGTGTGGGTAAAATACTAAGTGTAAAAATAATAAAATATGAATAAAATACTAACTGTAAAAAATTCAGAATTTGAATAGCACGGAAAAATAAATATGTAAACAAAAATTAAA